AGATTCATTCATCCTTTGCGTCGTCTGTTCTTCTGCTTCCTTCTCCTTTTCCCTAACTTCATGCTCTCTTGTGGTTCTAAATTGATCTTCGTGAGCCAGAATGTCCTGTCCGTTCTTTGTTAACACAGCTGTATTAAACCCCTTTTGTACCACAAAATTTGCCTTTTCAAGACTTGAATCCTTCTTCTTTCTGTACCACACACTTTCATACGTTGCAACTGAAATGGTAATCGGAGCACTTATTTGTCTTCCAATCAATGCAGATGGGGTTTTGTCTTCTTTTTGCATGCAGAATAGCTTTATAACTTAGGAATAGTTTGGATAAATAACTCTCTATATCACAATCCACTGGAGAGAATGCTTTTAATTCCATTTTTACCGTTTGAACCATTCTCTCCGCAATTCCCTTTGACTGTGGGTGGTAAGGTAGTGTTTTGTATGGATGCAGCTAATGCGTTTTAACATAAAATTTCTTCACAAAATTCCGGTGCATTGTAGGAGACTAAAGTTTTTGGAACTCCATTTCTCGAAAACACTGTCGTCAACACACGCTTCACAGTAGTAGCTTTTCTATCCGCGATATGAATAACTTCAGGCCAACCTGAATACGAGTCGAATAATATCAGAAATAGTCTTATAACTTTAATGTAAGCATGATCTATATGTACTAGTGTCCACAGTTCCATTTTCTTTGGCCAAGTGTGGATTTTTTTTTCGAATAGCCTGGCCACCATGCTTGTAACTTTAAACTCATTTGCGTAGCCAATATACCTCCATGTATATCATTGTGCACGGCTTTAATTAATTCTATTCTCAGTAACCGTGGAGGTACAATGATATCTCCATTATTTATAATTACTTTTTCTATTGTTAATTTGTCTTGACTCTTTATAAGGCCGCTCAGCCATAGAGCAATTACTCCATGTATTTCTCTTTATTCTATCCATAATTCTATTCAACACTGGATCCTGCTTAGTTCTCAACCTAAGCCGATTTAAGGGTAATACGTCCGTTTCTATCCAGTGAAAAATCCTATCCTCACAATTTTCACTTGCTTCAACATTTTTACGCTCAAAATTTAACTGAGATAATGCATCCACATGCATTTCCGTTCTAGAGTTGCCGACCAGAGACGTAGACAAGACCAGACAGCTGGAGGAGCTGCCGAATCCCACGTGACCTGCTGCCAAAGAAAACTCCCGATTTAAGCCTTGTTTCAGACTTAGTTAAATTGTGCAAAGTGTCACGATAGAATTCAAAGTGGGAAGGGTTAATATTTCTGTACAAAGAACGATATAAGCCGCATAGAAAATAAACCCTGAAAAAATTCCTGTCTTTTCTTTACTTTGTCTGTAAAGAACATCTATTTTTTTATTTTCCCTTTGTGACATAGCTGACGGGAACTCGGTCTTTGCCAGCTCGTCGATCAAAAAAAATGTGGGGCAGAGCAAGACGCAAATTAGAACGACCAACTTCAACGACCAGCGCCAGTATTGACCAGCCTAAGAATTGATCCAGAATCGACCGGCGAGAAAAGTCATAATTGGTTGCCGTAGACCAGGATTGACCCTGTGTGTCACATATTTCTTTTGTTTGTCGGTGTAGCTATCTCTGATAACTTATTAACGAGTTTATCATCAGGCGGTATACCGTCTTTGGATATTTCGTATCCTAGGTACGAATTTTTTTCACAATCAAATTCGCATTCATCGTGATTTCATACCCGCGCTATTTAATATTCTCAAAAGTTGCTCCATTTTACATTTGAGCTCCTTACTCTGTGCACCAATGTCAATAACAAAGTATTTCAGAGCAGCAAACTCATGGTACGCCGTTGTAATGTTTGGCAACGGGAATGAATCCAAACAGATCTGATGATTCACGCCTAACTTATAATCGCCACATCTTCTCAAATCTCTATTAAGCGTGCATACAAGACACCATATTGCTATTATCCTGGCTGACTTTGTCTAATATTCCTTGTTCTACCATTTTGTTTAGCTTGGCAACCACCAAAGGTAGCATATGAACAGTGAATTTTCGGGTTTGAAAATACATGGGCTGACTGTTTTTTTTAAAACCGAATCTCCCTTAATAATCCAATATCCGGTTATACAGACTTCGTGGAATTTATCAGTTTCGATGTATCCACTCTTAACATTTCAATTCCTAA